TTACCAACAATAAATGTGTGTAGATTGCATTAAGGATAAGCAAAAATACACTAAGAAATGAGCCAAAATAAATACAAAGCTTCTTGAAATTAGACATACAAATATTTGTAGACCCTTTAACATTTTATCTTTTGGAGATGAAAAGTATTCAATATCTTTATTAACGATTATTCACATTAATGTTATATCCATTACATAAAAGTCTCAATTTTGAATACATTACAAGTATTCATAGTTAAGTAGAGATGTAGTAAGATATAAAAGTGAAAATCATAAAGGTATTTAAAGATAATGAATTTATGGCAAATATGATGAAAAGACACAATGTCTATATTTTGCCAAATTTCTCCAAAATTAAGAATTATATTAGTACACATCCTGGTTCTCCATGGCACAATGGTGTAGCTTAAAAACATAATCGTACTTTTATGTAAATTGTTTGATTTATGCAAATTCACTTATATCCTTGTGGATAGATGCATTATGTGTTGCAGTCTGTTTCTTGAATAAGGTTACCAGCAAAGCAGTTCTCAAGACTCTTTTTGATCAAAACTCTTTTTGAACTACATAAATTCTACAAACCTAGTATGGGACATATCAAAGTATGACGATGTCCAATTTAAGCAAGAACATATAACCCTCATGAAAAGAAATTAGATTTCAAAATGATCAGTGGTTTCTTTATAGGTTACCCTGAAAAATCTAAAGGATATAAGCTAAACCATAGTACATTTATAAGAATGTCAACATTAGTGGGAGTAATATAGATTAAGAAATGGTCATTCAAGAAGTTAGGATAAATAATATGTTGCACTAAATTATGAATAAATGACCATATACTCCATGATGAAAAGTTGTCAATAATGATCAAGTACATGAAATTAAAGAGGAACAAGCATTAGGAAGATCTACGCGTATGAGTAGATTTGCTATTTCCAATAAGTACTTTATCAAGTAAAATTTGAAGAATTGAATTTTAGAGATCTGGTTTCTTATTCAGAGCCATAAAAGATCTTAATTCTGAAATGAATCGATGCTATGAAAGATGAAGTAAACTCGATGGTTGAAAATAAAGTATGTAACGTCGTTCAATTACCTTACGAATAGACTATTTGAGTGTAAGTCGATCTATAAGACCAAACTCAAATATAATGGAAATATTGAACAATATAAAGCCTACTTGTAGCCAAAAGTTTAAATCGGAAAGAAGGCATCGATTAGACTAAGTCTTTTTCTCATGTGTTTATAAGACTCCATATGAATTATCATCGCCTTGGTAGCTCAGTATGATTTTGAGTTCCATAATGGATAAAAGAATTACCTTTCTTAATAGACTTACAAAAACTGTGTATATGTCAACCTAAAGTCTTCATAATCGAAGTGCAAAGGAAGACGTGGTCTACAAACTAAAGAAACCAATTTATGAACTGAAACAAACCTTGAGAATGGTATTTGAAGTTTAATGAAACCATTAAGGAATAAAGTCATGTATATACCTCAAGATCAGTGGGAGTAAGTTCATAATTTTGGTGTTGTGTGTTAATGATATATTATAGGACAATAGTCATCTTGGTCCATTACATGAGACTAAGAGATGTCTTCTTAAGAACTTTAAATATTAATGAAGAAACCTATGTGACTGGAATGAAAAATTCCATTATAGATCACTTGATATGTTAGGGTTATCTTAAAAGTATATATATTTATAAATTTCTTGAGAGATATGGCACGATAATGTGTTCTTCTAAGTAGTGTTCCTATGCAGAAAGGTGACAAGCTTGATAATGAAAGGGAACTTAAAGAAAAGAAAAGTTGAAAACAAATTTTGAGATACCTAAAGAAACAAAAAAAAGCAGTTGTTCACATATAAGAAATCATCACACCCATAGGTGGTTGGATTTTCAAACTCAGATTTCAGTAGACATAAAGGGTTTAAGCATTACAATTTTAGCAAAGTGTATCTCATCAAATGTGATGCCTTACTATGGAAATGCTTATAATTGTAATTGCTTTAAATGTCCAATAAGGAGGCTGAGTATGTGGCAATATTATGGGGCTTCTATAAAGTTAGTTATGATTGCAAAATTATCATTGAGTTATAGACTGTAAGTGTTCGACTCTTTATGTGATAAAGAAATAGGCAATCATATTTATAAAAAGACATGATATCTAAAGGTTCTAAGTATATGGACATTAAGATTGATATATGTCATTTAAGTAAGATTTCAAAATAGAAAAGTTTGTCATTACGCATATATGCACTAAACTTATGGTCACAAACATATTTACGAAAGATTTATATCCATAGACATTAAAGAAAATCTAAAAATTATAGGTCTAATGGATAGCTATTAAAGTCGTTTGATTATGTTTAGCATATATTTTACAATATATGAGCTCTTAATGACTTTTGAATCTTTTATATTCTGCTTCCAAAGCGTGTACACATTATCGTTGTTGGATTAATGATTACAGAATAAGTCTTTAAACAAGACATAAAAGGGACCATAGTGATAACTCCTACTTATGGTCTAACCTTGATAGTAATCAGTGTAGTAGTGCATGGAAGGAATCGTGTTGCAAAATAATATGTGCCCGCTATGACTCTCATTTACTATTAGATTAGCTAAGACAATTGTGATGACCAAATAAAAGCAAGATTTAACAAATAATGTCGGTTTTATGATTCTCGATACTTAAGTTAATAAGTTATACCAACGACCAAGTGGGAGAATGTTAGAAATATTCTCATTAGGAAGAGAATGTTTCTGTACCATTATGTGGTCTTTAGGTAAACTTAATTATATTTGAGATTGTTAAATCCTAATGACATTTGACCTTCCGTCGTTAATGATCTGCGTGATTGCCTTCCATTGCTCTGGAGTCAGATCACCAGCTCCAGTACTGTGGGAATTAGTCGCATGAGCTGTATGTGCTGAACCACGCCCAGTTGCTCCTCCACGACCAAAACCTCCATGTCCATTACCTTTGTTTGAACCTTTCCCTCGTCTCTCATTTATCCATTCGGGGAAGCCAATAATTTGCCAACATTTCTCATTATCATGTCCTGGTTTCCCACAATTAGAACACGCTCTCTCCCACCATACCCTTGATTGTAATTTTCAGAACGTGCTGCTTTATTTGTTGTATCACGATTCTCTGCCTTTGATATGGTTCTTGACGTATCCTCTACTTGTACGTCTCTAACTTCTCTTCTGCTCGCAAATCCAAAGGCTTCTTGTTGAGCTACTTCTCTTGACTTCGCTGTATTCAATCTCGCCTCTTCTCTAATTACTTTGGCATAAGCTTTACCCAAATCGGGCAATTGATCAGCTTCGATTATTGCTGTTACCACGTTGCTGAATTTGGAGTCATCCATCCCCATGATAAACTGATGCACTCTTTCTTCCTCCCTTTCTTTCTCATAGGCCGCAGCCGCTGTACAGCTGCAAGCTGGAGGTGGTTTGTAGGTTTGAAGCTCTTCCCACATCATGCCAAGCCAACCATAATAGTCGATTACAGGTTGTCCGTTCTGTCTACACGACACTAGCTGTTCCATCAACTGATGAACACGTACCTTATTTCCAATCTCAAAACGTTTTTTTCAGATTCTCCCACAATTTGTGAGCTTCTGTTATGAATGTCACAGTAGATCTTACTTTCGGCTCTATTAAAGAACGGATCCATCCTACTATCATCGAATTAACCCTCAGCCATGACTCCAACTTTGCACTCTCTTCGCTAGGTTTCGGGAGACTCCCATCAACGAAGCCCATCTTGTTCTTTGCTCTGAGTGCATTGACCATCTCCATCGCCCACTCGTTGTAATTGTCACCCTTCAACTGAACGGATGTGATTAGGGCTCCTGGATTGTCTGAGGCGAACAATGCGTATGGTGAGTTTACCATCGCTTCTCCTTGCTTCGTAATAACTTGTTTTTCTTCGTCCCCCATTAGGAAACTTCTTCTTCTCGCAACAATTCTTAAGCAAAGATTTATTTAGATCTCCACTCTGATACCATGTAAGTTTATAGAACTGCCTGCTTTTATTAAACGACTTACAACTTTATTTATACCACTCCTATAACCGACTTGGTCAGGATAGACTTCACAACTAAATACATCATTATCTTATAAAACATCATACATATCTCTAACTTGCATCATTATCTTTAGCCACTCCAATAGACTACAATAATAGCCTATGCTTTTGTAAAGCCCATAACTGGTTTTAAAATTCACAGTGACAATAGCCTATACCTTCACATTCATACCAGCATCTCTGAATCATCATGAGCACAAAGCCATGAGTCCATGACTGAGTCCTATCTCTGCTTGGTGATGTGCCTCCTTTACAACTTTTAGTTTGATGCTAATTAACAATGGCGATGTACTTTGAGTTGCAATTTTTTTTTCCATAATTAAAATCCTGCATTTCGTGAAAGCATAAACAGAAAGATCTTTCCGCATATGCATAGATGTTGAAAGCATAAAGTTAGTTTAATTCATATTTATTATTATGAGTTAATTCTATTCATTACTTGAATATGAAGCATCCTTCTTGTCGTAAAGAGTTTTACACGTAACGGCACTATTTTAAATCAAGTTCTTATTTCCTTCAAAAGATTTGTTTTTTTTTTCCAGGATCTTGAAACTACAAAAGAGTGACGTTTAAGGAATAACAATATATAACTCATACTTCTTGATTCTTGTCTACATTCTTGGTATCTCTTTTCACTAAATGAAGCTCACAAGATTCAAGTTCGTATCACCAAGAACGTAAACATCTCTTCGTTAATATGGATCTTATATTAACTTTTTCTTACAACTTTGTGACTGCAAGCAAAAATAAAATAGAGCAAATACTGTAAAAGACTTTGAAAAAAAATAAGAAACAAATTGTGAGTACAATCCGCCTTCTTATGATCTCTCTTTATCGCCACTCTATATGTACAAATATCATTGTAAGCTAAACGCTACAGATTCAGTTCTCGACACTAATCAAGAACAGAGCTTAGGAAGTGATCTGTTGTTTCCTCTGCTACTGCTCTTGGTTCTCTTCTTGATAACTTCCATCTGAGTCTGCATTTTCAAACACGCCCTCTCCAACTCCATTACCCTCCACTGTATTCCTTCTATATGCTCTTTCAGCTTCTCATTGTCTCCTGAAGTCTCAACCTTCTCCACTCGTAGTATGAGCTGCTTCTGTTCTTGATCTAATGTTTCAACCCCCTGAAACTTTGCGTTACGTGAAACATGTGCTCTTGACTCCGTTGAAAGCTTCTCATAACTTATAGTTCTTATCAAGTTAAGTCTTTCACTACTGGTTAATCCTGCATGTGCCTGAACAAGCCAAAGAAACTTGTCATATTTTCTATTAACAATTTCAAGTTCTAATATCATTATTGAAATGTTACCTCGAGATACATATCGATGGCTCGGTAGATATCTTCATGAGACTCTCTCGCTGAATCAGGAACGAGTGTGAGTAAAGACAGAAACTTTGAAGGTTTCAAACAAGGATCAGGTGCTACTTCAGCTATGTACTGATCAATCAACCTCGCCACTTTCTTCAACTGTGATCCTCTTTTTGCTCCGTCTAGGAAAGCTTTTGTGAATCTAAGAACAAGATTCACATAGTACAAGTGACTCGACTTCATTGGAGATGGAACAAGGAGATTGTCAAGCGTTGCTTGTTCCAGTTGCTGACCAATCATAAGCTCAAGTTTGTTCATAACACTTTTACTTATGTTTAACCCAAGAGCTAGCCTCAGAACACCGAAAAGACTCTTGTAAGGAACGCAGCTTCGGTCCAACACGTAAAGAGTGTCAATAGTCGTTTCAAGAATCTCTCTTTTCTCATTTGATGATGACACAGAACAGAATTTGACCTTCTGGTAATAGAACAAGAACCTAGTGATGGTAACGTTATCAAACTTCCTCAACACCATCACCTTCAAGAATGTTGCCACCAAAGCAGGGCTTAGAACAAGAACCTCATCGAACCACCATGTTATCCGAGAAGAGCTGTTCTTGAAACTCTCTGTGCTTTTACTGTCACAAGAAAACCTAAACAAGCTGCTATCTGGTGAAGGGGAACATGCAGCACTAGAGGGACTCGCTTCAATAGCTAAACACAGTTTCTCCACCAGCGCATCCATCAACTTAACGGCTAAAGAGTCAGCCTCAGAGGATGTCTCAAGTTCTTGACACTGTTTCAAACCAACAAGCACCTCTGGCCAAGCCCAATACCTAATCTCTTCCAAACACTTCTCTGTTTGTACCAAGACTTTAGTGACTTCCATGAACTTAGCAGCACAATGCAACATGACTACATTTGAAGGCATCACGGTGCATTCACCGTTGTTGTAGCAGAATCTTGACAAAAGCTCGAAACTCTCAGCTCCACCAGGGAAGTCATTAAAGATCACCTTGAGATTACCACTGGAGCAAGGAGACGACTTCCCAAGCAGTTTCCTCAATGTTCCAGAATACTTGCATATGATTTGCTGAAATCAATAACCAAACTCAAAAGTCATTAAGTGAATCTTGAAAGTCCCACATGAAAAAAGGTTTAAACTTTAAATGCCATGTTACTGTTTTTGAAGGAATAAAGGCAAAAACAATGATGAACACTTATTACAAGGCATAAAAGAAATTAAATATCTAACTGCACAATGGTCTCTGTGTCACAGCTAAGTTGAGAACAAAAGGGAAGTGAATAGTGTCCAAGCAAATTGCAAAAAGATTGCAACTTCTTAACCTCTTCTTAATGTGTTATCTTTCCTATTAATGGGCAAGATTTTGTTTGTTTGCAGAGAAAGTCAAAGGAAAGGTATATAACAAAACATGCAATAAATGGTGATTGAGACATCTCCTTCATCACTCTACAAGACACAATCAGTTACAGTTCTGAATTAGTTATTGGTTTTAACTAAGAGAAAAGAAGCTTTTTGTGCCCTCATTTTAAGGTAATTTAGTGATAGAACAACATTAAATGCTGAGTGTAGCAGAATCACAGACCATACGTGAGCCGTTAATATTATCATATAATCAAAAACGAATCACAGAAAATAATAAATAAACTAAAATCACAGTTTTTGATGAAGAAATTAGACTCCAAATGACTTTTATTAACATCCAAGGCAAGAAAACAAAATAACTATAAGAAAATTTGGAAAGACCCAGATAAGTAAAAGTGAAATTAACACTGAGAAATGGTTAAAAGTTTGGATTTTTCAGCCTAGTTTTACCTGTGTGGAGGCTTGTAAGAGTAAGAGTTATTTACCTTACTGAGAAAGATAGATTCTTCTCCGTTGATGTCCACTTCAAGAACAGAACAAGATTCCATAGCTAAAAACACAGAAAGAAACTAAGGTAACACCCAAAAACAAGAACCCACCAAGATAACAAGATTCTCTCTCTCTCTGTCTTGATTTTTGCCCAAAAGGAAAAGAGAAAAAGAGATTGTGGTAAAAGAGAGAGAGACGATGTGGATTTATGCTGAGAAGAGGAAGAAGACAAAGAGCAAAGGAGCAAAGAAACTTTTGTTGGTTTTCTGATTGTCAGATCTGTATGTAAGACTTTCTCTTCTTTTATGTCTGTCAAGTCAATTGGTGAAGCACCACCAACAAACTTGTGGTGGGTTTGGTTTTTTCATATGTTCATGGGGGAGAGATGGAAAATTTTAGAGAAAGATAAAGGGACCAAGCAACAAAGGCGTGTCCAAACCAACGTCACTCTACTCTTTACTGTATATTGTGTGTGATATTAATATGCAAACAAACAAATGAGATGAGAGAGAGAGAGAAGAGAGACCTATTATCCGTGACATTCTTGCTAAAAACAGTTAAAAAGAGATGATATTTTGTTACAATAATATAAAGTAGTTTTTCCTTGTAGATTAGATATATTGTTACTTTGTTGGTTAAGGACTATGACAACGCATTTACCCTTTTGATCAGCTGATCAATCAGTAATTAATCATTTATTTTCCAGGTAAGTATGATTACTATAAGCCAAATGGGTGAAGCTTTTTAGGCCATGTTCCTCTCTTTCTCTCATCATGCTGCTTTGATTACCTCTCTAATTAAGTTTACTAATTGTTTTGGATAATTGCATCTCGTGAATCGTAGACCAAACTTAGCTATTACGAGTCTTTAAAACCAAATGGATTCTGCCTTTGTAACCAAAAAGTTACGAACCTTAACCCTGTAAATGATGTTATTAATTTAGCGAATGATTAAATCGTGTAAATGTTATTATTTTTTACTAGAACAGAAATATATTGTTTGAATATAACAAAATAGTTTTAAATCTATGGTTCTAACATGTATTAGAAAACGGATGTTTTCATGCAAGATTACTATTTTTTTATACGAAAGATAGTCCACTAACGAAGAGATTTGGTCGGTATTGATGCTCTTAACACTTAAAATCTTATCTATGAGATATAAGACTATTCAATGCCTTGAAATAAAGTTCCATACAAATCACGAATCTATTATATAATGGACTATATAATAAAGGATACAACTCAATATATGAATTTTTTTTTGAAGATACATGAATATCTATTTTCTTCTTGATGATTGTAACATGCAACTTTAAACTATATAATATATAGACACAAAAATAATATCAATTGTTGACAAACCCAAAAGAAATAATATCAATTGGAAAATAAAAATGGTGTATTATACTTTAGATGACATAAAAAGCAGTAGAAATACTATTTAGAAAATAACAAAAAAAAATATAGTTGTTTAATAAAGAGGGCACTGCTACAACAGAAGAGATAAGTGTGATGTGTTTTTAATAGAAAAGAAAAATAAACAAATTGTGACTGTGTGTGGTGAGGTGTTCAACTGCTCATTCACCAAAGCTCCCTAACGTGGTGAACAAAAAAGCCATGGAACGGGGATCACGTGAGCTCACTCTTATGCTTTTAACCCTCACATAATAAGGTATTAACAAATAGTAGCGGTTCTGACCTGCTAGGGCCCAATAGTATTTATCCATCTAACGTAACTAAAATGTTTTATTTGTCTGAATTTGGTGCAACGTATCTAAAATGTTGATTAGTAGATGATAGATGGATGGTCTGGTCTAAGTTAATATTTAAGAAACTGCCGATGAATATAACGATGAATCATGCCCCACAAATTTTGCGGTCAAGTTAAACTGGTGAATCCTTGCATTCACAGCTATATATCGTTGGGCCAATGCGGCCACGTTGGTCCATTGGGTACTTTTGGAGATTTGGACCGTATGGGGTCATATCTTTTCATCTTCTACTTTTTGCTTTGAAATTGTTTTGGAGGGATTCCTGCTTTTTGTGTTCAAGTGTATTATTGAAACGTACGGAGGATCATTGCTAACATAATTGCATAAAGTTTAAAACATATACTTTCTCACCAACCTATATGTGCAATAGTATAAATGCACACTTATGAGCGCTAATTAGTAACAAAATAATTATATTTGTCGTATACTTAGTTTCAAGAATATTTGATACTTCTTTTCTTTTTCTAACTGAAGGTCTGAAACTTCTTTATACTTTTCTTGTCAAAGGTTTTGCATTGATTGATCATATAAAAAATCAAGAGACTCATTTCATATTTTAAATGCATTGATTAATCATATATGGTAACATTATGGAAATATTGAGTAATTTTTATATGTTTTAATAAATATTATATGTGTTTTATTATTACTTTATATAATTCTGTGTTATAATAAATTGTATTTATGAACATCTTGTTTAATAATTTTTAAATATGTATGTATTACTTATCTATAGAAAGTTTACTGACTATATTTCATTTATTTTAAAATTGAGGAGTAAAATGCAAATTACATAAAATTTTGAAAATAATTTTGAGGTTTTTTGTTGGAGTAACCCACCTTTAAACTTTCATTTTAATGATCTTTGGCTTTCAAAATGAGGCTTTTTGTTGGAGATGATCTAATTAGTAACAAAAGGTTTTGCATTCTCTTTATGATAAAATCTATTTAGAGAGCACATTTGTTTTCAAATGTTAAATGTCAATACAAACGTTTTACAGTGAATCGCTTTGATCTTTCTGTGAATGCTTCATCTTCCTTTAGAGCATGTTCATTGGTAAGAGGCTATGAAGGGTTCTTATGATTAATTTTCTAGTTAATTTTGTGGTTTGAAAAGTTAAGAACCCTTATTAGTCTAATTAAATTTCTCCTCCTCCAAGGTGATAACCTTATTGAGGTTCTTAATTTTTTTTAAGTTGAATTATTGAATTTCATAACATGAAAGAAAAGCATACATAAACTAAGTTTTCGAAATGGAAATTGACATTCGGAAACTTCTCATCAACTTTGTAGCAAAGTAATATGTAGTTTCATAAGAAAATGACTTTGTGTGATAAATGCATTTCACAATTTAACAGTATTAAAACTCAAAAACAAACTTGCATAACCACGGGCCTTGAGTCCTCTGATTTTTCATGTTCCTTCATCAGCAACTGTAACATAGCATCATCCCAACAATACGTTTAAGAAAACAGAAATGCGAAGAGAAACCTTATTCAGTTGGTTTCATGTTCTAGAGTGATGTGCTAAGAACCTAAAGAGAGAGTTACGATCTAACCTTGTTGTTGATCAAGTTGTGGAGCGCAAAAATAGATAATGAGCATCATCTCATTTGTTTTCACTGCACATAATAGTAAGACTCATGGGATCCAATGCTTCAAGAAAGCTAAACAGACATAAATAACAAGTGCAGGAAGAAACCAACCTGAGAAGGCCTTGACCGACTCGTTCACATTCAGGTTTGGAAGCAAGTTGAAGACATCCTTCAGATTTTAAGAAGAACGTTTCATTAGATAGACACAATAAGTGTATAAACTGCAAAAAAATCACATTTGGAAAATGTCAATGAAAATTATGCAAGTTCTAACCTGCAAATGGTATAAAATCTCATGATAAAACCATGGTACAAATGAAAAATAAAAGAAACCATCTAACATCAATAAGTAGATAATTGCATACCCCTGATAAAACCATAAAACTCCTCCTTCAATCTCAATAGATATGTATTTCACATGGCATCCACATTTCGAAAGAGAGAGTTTCAATCCTCCTTCATCACTCAACAAGCCTAGCGAGAGTCCAATCTCCATGCCTTCAACCTGCGAGAATCAGCACTCATCAAACTCCCTTTTGTAAAACATATATAACAATGAGCAAATCAACACACCTACTAAAAGTTACTATGTCCTAAGTAATAACCACAAAACAGCAAAACTGAACAGAGTCGGTCTGTGTGTGTGAGGGCGGGAAGAAGAAGGTTTGTATGAGAAGGAAGAAGTAGCATCACCTAACATCCATGGCGGAGATTCCAAGTTTTGTTTTTTTAATAATTCTCACGCCAAATAAATGAAGAAGCTTTGCTTGTTCTTCAACCAAGAAACTAAACAAGTCACATGATCAACGGGATCAACGACGACGAAGAGAAAGAGGACGAAGAGAAAGAGGATGAAGAGATTTCGACGATATCGAAAAAGAGAGAGAACCAAATTGTTTTCAAGCCAATACGCATCTGCCAAGTTAGGGGTTTTTACTTTCTCCTAATTAAGTACCGGTTTATTCTAATTTTTGCCTTTTTCATTTTATTTTTTCATTGTTTCCTCTAGAACCTCTCCTAAACCCCCTGATGGAGCTGGTGTTTCCTATCTGAGAACGACCACATCGTTTTCTTACATAGACGATTTCACATAATTTGTTGTTTACTAAAAAAAAAGTTTTGTATGCCCATAATCCATCCTGACCTAGATCTAACTTGTTAAATGTTATCAATCCAGGCCCAAAATATGCACTCTCTCCATAACAACAACTTTTTAGCTCTCTCTTGGGTTGAAGTTGCAACAGATTCTAAAAATTTATGATGAACTGGAGAGAACATCATCCATCTTAATTCACTCTATTTTGACAAACTCTCCCAAGTTCCCAACTTAACCCCGACAAATACAAATGATTCTAGCTTAGAACAAAATGTGGATTTGTGGATCTAATTCAGTTTGTGGATCTAATTCAGAAAAACTCCAAGTGGGCTTCTGTCTCATGTGGTCCAAACACATTATCTCCCGAAACCTGAAAATAGAATGTCCAAGTCTCAGCCCAATTGGAATCACTTATCAATACGGCTACGTTTTGGAAACGCAAGTGGAGAAAGCTTGTTATAAACAAACTTTTGAATCTCATCATCTTCAACACAAAAAAGAGAGAGAAAACAGATCAAGAGCAGAGAGTCTAGAGAGATAAAGCTGAAACTTAGCTTGGTGATCGTGAGGGTGATTATCGACAGAGTTGCGAAGGCAGTACACGGTTGAGTCAAACCATTCCTGTGGTGACTTTCCGATTTCACAGAGGAAACGATCAGTTTGTTGTTGTTCTCTTGTAAAGCTCTGTTTACGTGTATTCTCTATTGGATACATTCTATATTGATCGTAATTAATAAGTGAATCAGTTGAGTGACTCCGATTCCCTCCCCGGTGAGTAGATCAACGAACACCTGGTGAACAAATCTTGTGTGTACTTGTGTTTTCTCTCATTGTGATATCGAACCTGAAATGAAACAACTCAAACATAAACACATAGAAGAAGTTAAACCTAAGCTATTTGAATCTGATATCTCTACAAGTGGTATCAGAGCACAAGGTTTAGTGTTAGGTCTAAGGTCAGATCTGATAGAGAGGTTTACTTATCTG